AAAAAAAAAAAAAAGAGACATTCTACAAAATAACGTCAAAAATATCAGTTATCAAAAACAGTGAATGAGGTAGTGACTCAGATTATACGAATATGTAATTCTTGACTGGACTCTAGCCCAGAAAAAATAATAGATATATTATTGGGACAACTGACAAAATTTAAATAAGGTCTGTAGATCACACAGTGTTACATATCAATATGATATTTTCCTGAATGTTGTACTGTAGCTGTATAAGTAAATACCCTTTTTATTGGGATAACACAGTTAAGTATTTTGTGTCAGGGAAAATATGTAACACACTCACATGGGTAAAAAAAAGTGTACGTATACACAGGTAGCGAGAATGATAAAACATTTTAACTGGTGAATCTGGGTAAAAGGTATATGGGAGATTTTATATAATTTTTATCATTCTGAAATTTTTGAACTTCAAAATAAGAAGTTTAAGGAAATGTAAAAATATATGAAGCAAAATTTCATTATTTAGAGATAACTAGAAATACCTATTTATCTATGCTTTTTAAAAAATAAGATTACACAAAAATATGTTTTATGTTTTTCCAGGTTAATATACTGAACATCTTCCAATATCCATAACCAAAAATTTACCTTTTCCTATTTGATTTTTGCATAGTGTTCCACTGGACTGGTATACCATAAAATACTTTGGCAATCCAACTGATTATTTCTATGTTTGCTATTAAAACAATGATGCATTGAACATTTTTATAATATATACATCTCTGGCAGACATAAATTTACTTGTGAAGATCAAAAATTCATCTCTGGGGATCCAGTCCTTAATTTTAACCCTATATACCATATCAAATATTATGAATCCTTAGCTACAGAAAATTTTTAGTCAGTAATTTTATTCATTTTTATAGGTTTACAGCTTTAGTAAAAATAACTGTAAATATAAAAGGAAAGGGAAAGGAAAAATAATCCAAAACCCTCCCTGACCAAAAAACCAGTTAGTATATGGCAAATATCCTTTCTCACATTATCTTCAGGCAATACATTCACATTGACAGATGATCGTTTACGCTAATTGGATCTTACCGCGAGGGTCACAATCTGTATTTCTCCCCTAAATGAGTTCTATTCCTCTTACTATGGCTGTCATCATTTTGATGTATTTCTTAGAAAGATTCTGAGTCTCAAGAATCCCCTTCTGCTCTCGATACTTTCATAGGTTTTAACACCAGCTCCAAAAACTTGAAAACGGGCATTCTAACAAAACTTGATAATACACTTTCCATTTCTAAAGCTTTTTGCCAGTATGGACTTTCTGATGATATATAAGACGTGAACGGTGCCGGAAGTCCTTATCACATATATCACATTTGTATGGCTTTTCTCCAGTGTGGACTCTCTGATGGGCTTGAAGACGTGCTCTCTGACCGAAGCCCTTACCACACTCTTCACATTTAAAGAGTTTCTCCCTGATGTGAACACCCAGATGGACTCGCAGATTTGAGGGAAGACTGAAGGCCTTGCCACATTTCTCACATACGTGGGGTTTCTCCCCTGTGTGGACCCTCTGATGATGGCGAAGATTCAAGTTCCTACCAAAGCCTTTCCCACACTGCTCACATTTGTAAGGTTTTTCTCCGGTGTGGCCTCTCTGATGGTATATAAACTGCGAACTGTATCTGAAGCCCTTTCCACACACGTCACATTTGTAGGGCTTCTCCCCAGTGTGGACTCTCTGATGGGACTGGAGACCAGAGGACTGACTGAAGCCCTTACCACATATACTACATTTGTACGGTTTCTCTCCAGTATGGACTCTCTGATGTACTCGAAAATCTATGGCCTGACTGAAGCTTTTATCACACTCCTCACATTTATAGGGTTTTTCTCCTGAGTGAACTCTCTGATGAGCATAAAGATTTGATCTCCAGCTGAAGCCCTTCCCACACTCCTCACACTTATATGGCTTTTCTCCGGTATGAATTACTTGGTGCAGTTTCAGATTGGAACTGTAACTGAAGTCCTTACCACACACACCACATTTATATGGCTTCTCTCCAGTGTGGACTCTCTGATGGGTTTGAAGCTTCGAGGACTGACTGAAGCCCTTCCCACATGTTTCACATTTGAATCGTTTCTCTCCAGTGTGGACATTCTGATGGACTTGAAGATTTGAAGCCTGACTGAAGCCCTTGCCACACTCCTTGCATTTATAGGGCTTCTCTCCTGTGTGGACTCTGAAATGGATGTGAAGATCTGTATTACGGGTAAAGCCTTTCCCACAAGCCTCACATGTGTACGGCTTCTCTCCAGTGTGGACTCTCCGATGGCATATTAAGGGTGAATTGTGACTAAAGCCCTTCCCGCACACATCGCATTTGTAGGGTTTCTCCCCAGTGTGGACTCTTTGATGTATGTGAAAATGTGCGGCCTGAGTGAAGCCCTTCCCACACTCCTCACATTTATAGGGTTTCTCACCCCTGTGGACCCGCTGATGGACGCGGAGATTCACACTCCAACCAAAGCCCTTACCACACTCTTCACATTTGTATGGTTTTTCTTCAGTGTGGACTCTCTGATGGCATTGAAAATTGGAACTTTGACTAAAGCATTTACCACATTCCTCGCATTTATAAGGTTTCTCTCCAGTGTGAGTTCGGTAATGAATGATAAGACCTGTGCTACTGCTGAATCCCTTGCCACAACTGTCACACCTATAGGACTTTTCTCCTGTATGATTGGATTGGCAAGACTGAAGAGAACTCCTACTGAAGCAATCACCAGATTCATGACATTTATCAGCGTTCTCTCCGGGGTGAATTCTCTGAGTGTGCAGACGTGAGCGTGGACTGAAGCATTTCTCTCCTGTGTGAACATTCAGATGTAGGGGAAGCACTGAGCTGTAACTGAAGCCCTTTCCACACTCGCCACGTGGGTGGGTTTTCTCTAAGGGCAACTGCTGATTGGAGCCATCGCTGCTGCTCTTGCCACATTCATTACATTTGTAGGATTTTTGTTCTGTGTCGGTTTTAATACGCTCACTAAATGGCAATTTCTTCACAAGGTCTTCACATACATGCAGGTTATTTTTCACATCAATTCGTTTACCTCTGCTCTGATTCTGTGACTCATTCAGACACGTATTCACCCGAGAATCCTGGGTTTTCAGAATTGAAAACTCTTGATTTTCAATATAAATAGAGCTATCTCCTTTATGATTCATTAGAGTGTTCACATTTTCAGAAACCTGAATAGAGTCACCTTGCAGCAAGTGGGAACTCTTCCTCTGAAGACACCTGCTTAATTCACTTGCAACTTGTTTCCAGATTTGCCAGCAGGATAGCTCTTCATGTGAAAGGTATTTGAATGCAAATTTTTGAAAAGTCTCCATCTTATTTTGATTCTTGCTGCCTATTAAAAAAAAAAAAAAAGCAATATTCAGAGGTGACAAGTAAATGCTTTGTTCAGAAACATCAGGATTTCACACTTAGGCCATGGCAGAAGGCCTTAATAAATCAGGGGAAGGGTCACATTATCCTTTGGGTACAAGCAAAGAGTGGGGTCAACAGGCTCCTATGCGCTAAATGTAAATGTGACCCATTTAGAATCACAAGTCTAACAATTTACTATGAAAACTAAAAGCTTGAAATTAGATGGCTGCAGGGCAACAAAAAGACAATCCACATTCCAACCTACATCAATTAAAAACTTACTGACCTTTTCCTCAGTCGGCGTATGACAAGAGGGATTCTACTACCTAATTAGGTTAGAAAAGTTCAGACTGTAGGCATAAAATAGTATTTTAAGTCCTGACAGAAATTACCCTCCAAGAGTGAGTTTGGGGAAGCACCTGGAATAACAACATACAGTGTTCTAAAAGCTGGTAGAAATCCAGGTCTCTGTACAAGAAGTAGAAAACGGAAAGCTAATCTTGTACAAGAAAGAACTTGAGAGAGGAAAGAAACAGAGCATGGTGCAGACTCCCAAAGCCAACCCTGAAAAGGAAGAGAAGGAGAGCTACATTGAGCTTAGGAAGCTTTCCCGAGAGCTGAGACGCTTGCTTGTTCTCCCACTCCTTTCAGGTCAATGCTGAGGATGTAAGATGTAGTTCTTATTGAGGGTCATGGTTAAAAATATATGAAGGACCTTGGCTTAAAATGTTTGAGGGGGCCGGGCGCGGTGGCTCACGCCTGTAATCCTAGCTCTCTGGGAGGCTGAGGCGGGCGGATTATTTGATCTCAGGAGTTCGAAACCAACCTGAGCAAGAGTGAGACCCCATCTCTACTAAAAATAGAAAGAAATTAATTGGACAACTAAAAATATATAGAAAAAATTAGCCGGGCATGGTGGCGCATGCCTGTAGTCCCAGCTACTCGGGAGGCTGAGGCAGGAGGATCGCTTGAGCCCAGGAGTTTGAGGTTGCTGTGAGCTAGGATGACGCCACGGCACTCACTCTAGCCAGGGCAACAGAGTGAGACTCTGTCACAAAAAAAAACAAAAAACAAAAAACCTACAATTACAAATGTAGCACCTTCCTGAGTTCTATGAGTCATTCTAACAAATTATCACAGGAACCCCCAAATTCGTAGCCAGTTGGTCAGAAGCGAGCCAAATTATCTGGGAATCCTCAAACTTACAGCTGGTGTTGAGGGTGGTCCTGTGGAGGACTATGCCCTCAACATGTAAAGCACGGCCTAACTTCTGGTGTTTAGTGTCAGAAGTCATTGCAACATGTAAGCAGCTTCTCACATTGCCAGTGCTATCAGAAAAGATTAATACCATTAGGATGGAAATTATACAGAAAAATGATTTAGAAACTCTGCAATTTTCTTTTCCTAATCACAACTCTCCTCATCTCCTCAGGGATGTCAGTGCCTATGGACTTCTGGAAATGTCCAATTCAAAACTTCTAAATAAACTACTATATGTAGCTTACATAATTGTTAAAGTATTAGAGGGAAGAGAAGTGGTAAAGTGGGAAGTTGGCTATATGAATGAGGCTGTTTTCACCAATGAGAAGCCCAGCTGAAATTGCTAAGGGAACTGATGAAATGTAATGCCTGCCATATTAGCATTGATAAGTTTTGACAGTGTAGTTATACATTTTAATAACTGTGAATGGCTTTTATCTTCTAAGGTTAGTGGGTTTGAATCTTTACATATCCAAAGATGTCTAAGAAATTAGGATTAGGTTAGACAGTCACTGGAACACAATGTTACAAAATAATCCATTAATCACACTAGTGTGTTCTAAACCTATGAGCCATCTCTAGGAGGAACAGGAATGTAAGACCGACTTGTCTCCAGTCTCTCTAAGTTTTTTAAGAATCTTTATAAAAACAAGCTCTTTAATTTGTGCTCCCCTGACCTATAAAGAATGTTTTAAAATATTATTTGTATGTGGAGTATGGTTGCAAAATCCTGAAACATGTTGATGCTAAAAGGTCAAAAAAAACCAAAAAACCTTTGAGAAAGGGTGGCAGAAAATGCTACCATATTTGTTAAAAGAGACTTTTGTCTATCATGCAAAAATGAAAAATGATGATACTTAGGATAATTCCCAAGATTAAGGTCGCATATAAAAATGCAACCAGTAAAGTGAAGCAAGTTCCTAACATTCCTGAACACATCAAACATGAAGCAGCATGTAGACCTAAAAAGGAGAGATGGACAAAAGAAGAAGGATTATATACATCAACCCCTCACAGAATTCAGGGTCTAGTCTATCATGTTAGCAGATAAGCCTCTTTGTTTCATTTTTGGGGTGGGGAGAGAGCATATAAATTTATATCCTCTAGGAGTAACTAACTTTTACTTTTAGTTTTTAAATGGATAGGCCTGAGGAATTACGCAAATTAAAGAGAAAGGAAAGAAGGAGAGAGAAAGGAAAGGGGACAAAAAGTGAAGGGAAAAGGGAAGCTGAGAGAGGGCAGGAGAATGGGGGACAAGGAAAGGCTAGCTGGGTATGCAGATGAGGTGCTCTTCCTGCATGGAAAAGGCTGGTGTCATAAGGTTAGGAGAAGCTATGAGGAGAGCTTCCTCACTCCTATTCAAAAGAATAATTATTTAAATCCTTCATTCATTCATTCATTCA